GGCAGCCAGTTATTTGAGAACCACCCCACCCAGAGATTAATTCAAGATTGCTTGTGGAGGTGAAGTCATGGCCAGAATGACCACTAGTTATCTTCCAAATTACTGAGCAAGCTCTATTTTTCTGAAAGTCGGTCAAAGGTTTCGACATCCATGCTTGTGTAACATGAAAATATATAACTCTGTCTCTGTGTGTCCATGTAGAGAAAGGGAGAGAAAGCTGAGATAGAAGAGGAGGAAGAGGCAAAGAAGGTAAAAGGAGAGGGAGGAAAAAGATTGCCCCTGAGAAAGAGAGAACAAGGGATTCCAAAGGATGGGGGGGGGGAAGAAAGGTAGGGAAGTGAGTAGACAGACAAATAGAGAAAGAAACACAGGGTCATCTGGTCACTTTGCAAACTAGTGATTTTTCCTATCACTTTAGACTTGCAAAAACAGAGCAGCCTCTGTATTAGTTTCCTATTGGTGCTGTAACAAATTATCACTAATTCAGTGACTTCAAACAATGCTAATTTACTATCTTAAACTTATGGAGGTCAGATATTTAATATGAGTCCAAAATAAATGTGTTACCAGCCTCACATCAAGAAGGGCTGCGTTCTTTCAGGAGGCTCTGTGGAGAGCCGGCTTTCTTGCCTTCCATCATCCAGATGCCTACGTTTCTTGGTTCACTTCCATTTCCAAAGCCAGCAATGGTTGGTCAGTAAAGTCTTTCCTCACATCGCATGATTGGCATTTACTCTTCCACATCTAAACAACCCCTGTGTTTATATTGGGCCCATCTGCATCATCCAGAATAATCTATTTTAAAGCCACCTAACTAGCAACCTTCATTCCCTCTTGCCATGCAAGGTAACTTATTCACAGGTTCTGGAAATGAGGGTGTGGACATCTTTGGTGGGCCATGATTCTGCCCACCACACCCTCTTATTAAGAATGTTGTAAAGTGGCAGGATTTGAGACAGTGCTTTTAAAACTAAAGTCTTAAGAAATGGAAAATAAAAAAGAGCTATTTCTTTGGAAAACTTTTGAGGTGGGTAAGATCTGTTCCCTAGGTAATGTTTGAGCTGCTGCCAATGTCTGCCTTCCCTTTTTGGCACCTCCATATCTGACTGGGCTCATACAGCTATGGGCTCACCAGAGTATCCTGAGCAAATGTACCCTTGGGTCTGTCTGACCTGGGCATGCTGTCTCTTTTCCTTTCCTGCTAATTAAATTTATCCAACTCTCATATCTTATATGGAATTAAATGTATGAGTACAAAGAATTTTGCATTCATTTGACTCTAATATTTTAACCTCCTGGAGTGACAGCAGAAGATAGGTTTTTGAATGGGTGCTGGGGAAACATTATCTATTGGAGTTGCTTATATCTAATGGTACCACATAAACTTAGCCTGCATAAAGCCAGACTGGTTTAAAAGTCCAGGGCCATTTGGACACAAACGATATCTTGGTATGTCTACATTAAAAAAAACTATTTGATTATCTTATGAGAGTATTAAATTATAAATCATTTAACCATGGTATTGCTATAAAAATACAATTTTATCCTTATGTCTTTCTATACCTCAATATAAACAAGGATAAGAGACTGTGACGTTTTATTTTTTCGCAATTGCTGTTTGGAATGGAAATATATACTTTTCTCTGAATCTTATTATCCTCATCCTCCTTTTCAAACAATACTGTACTAATACTAGTACCACAACATCCAGAGGGAAGAGAAAAGAGCTTGAAATTCTGGGCTCTTAAGGATCACTGATACTATAATCAAGATTAACAGCTGTCTTTTCGGGCCGATTGTGTCTCAGAATCTCAACAATTATAAGGGCTCATTACAGTGGCTAATCCCTTATAAATAGAAACAAATGCAAGAATGACAACATAATACTGAAGGATGAGTTTGAAAATGAATAGCCGAGGTTCAGGGTATGAAGGCTGAGGAATGTGCCTTTTTTCCCACTTGTCTTCTTTGCCAATTGAGAATCAGTGGAGAGCAGTCACGGGGAAGGCAGAAGATCTGGATGGTCCACCCAGCCCTGAGCTGGCATTCTTTCTCAGTACCTGCAGGCCCATTATTTGGAGGACCAGGTCTATGGATGAAGGCAGCATTGAGCCATGTGGGAAAGTGACAAGCAAGATGGCATCTATAAAGTTTATAAAGTAGACAACGTGCCAATGTCACAGGATAAGAGTCAGTGGTGAAATATCAAACCCAGGTGAGGTGGGACTGGATATGAATATGCCTGAATGTTGAAAGCAGGAATCATGAAGTCTTCATGTAAAAGTCCCTGCTGTGGGGTTATCCAGGTTTAGTAGTTGAATGGTCTAGAATGAAATAGCCTATGTGAGACCCCTTTCATTTAAAAAAAAATCATGATTGGCTTATCACTCTTAGGAAATGGATCAAAGACAAAAGGACACCAACTACCTGGGAAAGTCACTCAATGTTGGTTAGTGTTTCATTTCTCTTCTTCTAGGATAGCATTCAGCATACCAAACTGCATGTTGGAAACTATCATGCCTGATTAACCAGAAAATTATTGCAGCAAAGATTTCAGAAAAAAATTAGTAAAGGAACCCTAGTTTCTTGTGAACACACCCTCACTTCCATATTGATTAACCCACTAAGCAAAGTATTTTCTAGGCGAGCCTCAGACACAAACCTGTCAGAAGGCAGGCGTTGACACAGACTGAACTTGAGCATATGGTACTTAGTAGTGTGTTCAGCTTAGGGAGAGTGTAAGATAATAGGGCCTGATAATTAAAATAGCATTTTTGTGCCGAAACCGGTTTGGCTCAATGGTAGAGCATCGGTCTGCGGACTGAAGGGCCCCAGGTTTGATTCCGGTCAAGGGCATGTACCTTGGTTGCGGGCACATCCCTGGTGGGGAATGTGCAAGAGGCAGCTGGTCGATGTTTCTCTCTCATCGACATTTCTGGCTCTCTATCCCTCTCTATTCCTCTCTGTAAAAAATCAATAAAAATATATTAAAAGAAAAAAAAATAGCACATTTGTTTATAGACATAACCTAATCTGGGGCATACTGCTAACATTTTTAGCAAGCGCATGGTTCTTTCAGGGCTAATTATCTATCTGAACTTAAAATATATTATGAATTAATTCTCTCACTAAATATGTAGAGTAAATGTACTTTGTTGGATGATAAACTGGTTCAAAGTTCTCCTAGATCATTTTGAGTTGTGTAGATAGAAATCTGGTTAGCTACTACATACATGATTACACTGGAGACTGTCTCCAAGTTTGACTCTGCTATGTATAAAGACTACAGTTTTTATTGATTTCAAGGTTTTAGAGGCACTCTGTGACCCACTCTGAATGATCAGTATCCTTCTACATGTGGCTACCCAGATATTTAGGGTCATTGCTCAGTATCCAATTAATTTGCATCTCAAGATATCTGCTTGGATCAGTAGAAGAAATGGTGGGTTTGTCTTTTAAGATATGTGGTTTTGCTAGTCCTCTTCATCCAGCCTTTTACCATTTTCATTGCTAATTGTGTATTATTTATGGAGGAATTTTATTTAGATGTCTGGCCTGAAGTGAATGTCTCCAAATATGTATCTATGAATTAGCCATTGGGGGAAAAGTGCTGCAGAAGGCATTAATTACCCTCGTATAATAAAATTCCATTTGGTGGAATAACAGCAGGAGTTCTTCAGAATAAGATGTGTACAGAGAACAAAAGCAAGGAAGACAATAACTGTTTTAAGAATTAGTAGGCATTCTTCTAAAAAGTCCCACGAGGCTTGTGAGAAGACATTTTTTTTTTATTCAGAACCTTACTGGGTTTACAACATGGATAAATGGCCTTCAATTATCCCAATAAAAAAAGGACACAAAAAGAAAACTAGCTCAAAATCCTAGTTTGAAGGATGAACATCTATAATCTAACTTACCATTTGATAGGTAATGGCATGACTTTAAAATATGTGTGACTAATAACTATGAATTAAGATTATACCAGGATATTGATAGTAGGTGTCATCTGATTCCTTGGTCTATACCTGGGTGTGGGTGATTGGCAGTCTGAGTGACAGTTTAATCTGACATGCACATACAATTCAGTCACTATCTTCTGGGCAGAAGATATTTTATATATTTTGAATTCAATGACAACTATTTAAATGTTTAAGTACAAATATTTAATATCAAGGCAGGATACATCTTTCTACAGTGGATACTCAAATTATAAGAAAAATGTTTTCATTCTTCTATTTTTCATTGTTTATACATTATTTAATACCTAGTCATCTGATATTCATTTAAACACATGTTGCATTTACACTTGACTCAAAATAAGGCATCAATTAAAGAATTGCTTTTCTACCCTTTTTGCAGATAGATACCTACACCTCAAAATGCATTGGTGGAAATTGATTTTCTGCTATGTATCATGAAATTAATTAGAGAAATACAGCGTAAGTCAAACATTTACTCCCCTGTGGGAAGTGAAGTTGGGCTTTATAATGGCCATCAGCAAAATCCATGGTTTAAATTACAGATTAACAAAGAGCTCATGAGCTCAAAATTAAGTTATTCTGTTTAAAATCAATCACTGAAACTGTCATTCTGCTTATTGCTTTGACTTCCTAACAAAGGTTTAAATGAGGACTTTATGTGCAAGTAGAGGATGTCAAGAGACCTGCTCTTTTTCAGACCTGCATGAGCTGGGGAGGCAAAACATTTAGGCTATTCATCTAATTAGAAGGAGGAATGTACTTTTCAAAAAAAAAATCTTTACCAAAATTCCCACAAATTCAAGTTCACAATTAATCTATTATCTGGGGGCGGAAATGGTAATGAATGAAAGGTGGGGTACACTTAAGAAGCACTAGATTCATTGATACCAGAGCCAACTGCAGAAATCTGGAATTTATTCTAGTTTTTAGTGCCAAGGGACGTAGGGTTCAGAAGGAGTATTGCCTTTGCCAGTAAAGTGCAGTCAGACTATGTTTTTAAGACAGAGCATTTTTCCTTTGTCACTGGGCTTCATGTTGGTTCACTACTCCAGTCTTGAGCAGCTCGGCGATGGTCTTGTCATCATATCTGAGGGCCTCTTTCAGGATGTGCGTCGTGTGCTGCCCAAGCAGGGGAGGTGGCCTGGCCTCTGACATCTTGAACTTACTGTATCTCACAGCTGGGCCTGTCAAAAGAGGTGGAAAGCAGGAAGCCTGTTAATGACTAACCCTAGGAAACGTATTACCCAAGCAGCCCGGGGTGTTTCCAACGAATGCCAAGAATATCACTGCTTGTTACACCCTTGCAGATGCACTGTCGTTTTGGAAGGAAATATATTTTTACATGTGGCTTTGCTTGACTCCATTTCATCCAACTGCACAGTCGTCATCAGATCTGCCTACCACTGTGCAGGGGACTGCACGCCCATGGTACGTGCTAAGCCCGATCAGAAGCTGTCAGTCCTGTCACAGGAAATCTCAGGGGTAGGGCACTCAACTGACTGAACTCTTCTGGGTTCAAGAGAATAACAACCAAGATATATAGTGTTTTTTCTGAAACTGACATTGTGACCCCACGTGAGGATAGTCCAAAATTTTATTATTCACTGCCAACTGTATAGTTCCAAGATTTAGTACAATAAACAGCAACTATACAGCAGTCAGACCCTGGTTGAATCATTTGGATGGTAGAAGTTATATATGCATGCTCCATTGTTAGGGAGACTTCAGTCTGAATGTTACCTCTTTTTTAAAATTTGTCTTTATTGTTGAAGGTATTGCAGATATCCCCCACCACATCCCTGCACTGACCCACCATCCCGTTTCCACCCCTCTACAGGTATTCCTACATTATTTCTGTCCAAGGGCTATGCGTATATGCATATAAATCCTTTGATTAATGTCTTTCCACCCTTCAATCCCCTTCCCTCTGAAATCTATCAGACCATTGCATACTTCAAGGTCTCTGGATAATTTTTTGTCAGTTGATTTTATTCCATATAAAATTGAGAGCAGTGAAACTTGTCTTTCTCTGATGGCTTATTTTGCTCAGCATTATAACATCCAGGTTCCTCCATGCTGTCTCAAAAGATAAGAGATTCTTCCTAGATTCTTCTTTTTTATAGCTGCACAGTATTCCATTGTGTAAATGTAGCACAGCTTTTTTATCTATTCATCTACTAATGGGCACTTGAGCTGTTTCCAGATCTTAGCTATCCTATATAATAAAAGCTTTGTGGCATTACACCGTCGTGTGTAGTTATCACAAATGGCTACCCTCACATCATCACAAGATGGCCACCACAGGATGGCCAGCAGGAGAGGGCAGTTGTGGGCAATAAGGCTGGCAGGAGAGGGCATTTGGAGGCTAACAGGCCAGCAGGGGAGGGCAGATGGGGGCAAGAAGGCCTGCAGGAAAGGGCAATTGGGGGAAATCGGCCAGCATGGGAGTGGTTAGGGGGCAATCAGGCTGGCAGGCAGGCAAGCAGTTAGGAGCCAGTGGTCCTGGATTGTGAATGGGATTATCTGACTGCAGGTTTAGGCCACAGGGATCGGGCCTAAACTGTTTGTTTTTACATATATTTTTATTAAAAATTATTTATTGTTAGAAGTATTACATGTCTCCTTTCCCCCCCCACTGATCTCTTCCCAGCTTCCTCCACCCCCCAGGACATGCTCTCTTCTCCCTCTCCCCAGTGTCCATTGATTATGCTCATATGCATACATACAAGTCCTCTCACACCCTTACCTCCTGCCTTCCTTCATAGGTTGGACAGTCTGTCAATGCTGCTATGACTCTAGTTTTATTTTTGCTAATCAGTTTATGTTGTTCATTATATTTCCATTAATGAGTGAGATCATGTGATATTTGTCTTTCTCTGACTGGCTTATTTGATTAGAATAATGCTCTCCAGTTCCATAGATGCTGTTGCAAATGGTAAGAATTCCTTCTTTTTTACAGCAGCATAGTATTCTATTGTATAAATGTATCACAGTTTTCTAATCCACTCATCTGCTTTTGGGCACTTAGGCTGTTTCAAATCTTAGCTATTGTAAATTGTGCTGCTATGAACATAGGGGTACATATATCCTTTCTGATTGGTGTTTCTGTTTTCTTGGGATATATTCCTAGTAGTGGGATTACTGGGTCAAATGAAAGTTCCATTTTTAATTTTTTGAGGAAATTCCACACTGTTTTCCACAGTGGCTGTACCAGTCTGCATTCCCACCAGCAAGTTAAGAGGGATCCTTTTTCTTCGCACCTTCTCAGGGACTTGTCCTCTGTTGATTTGTTGATGATAGCCATTCTAGCAGAGCCATCTTGAAAAATCAACTTCTTTGAGCCTCATGTTCCACAGCTCTAAGTTGGGCATGGTGTTTACCACATAAATTTGACATAAGAATTTTAATGAGACAATGGGCAGAAAGCACTAAGCAAATATTCCCTAGGCCATAGTAATGTACAAAATCCATTGAGTATTCTGATGGCAAAAGCTGCCACAGCATCATTCTTGAAGCTTGCAGTGCAAGGGGAAAATCCATATCGCCAGCTCTTCGCTGAACACTAAAAGCCACTGCAAACATCGTTGCTCAAGCAATACTTTCACCCAACAGTTGGGAATATATTATTCCATTCTTTATCAATGGCCACTAAAGCCCCAAAAGCTAAGGTTTTACTTAAGGTCATATGGCTAATAATTATTAATAGTTCCAGGATGCAAAGCCATGTGCATTTGAATTGTCTCCCATTGAACACCCTAGCAGTCTTAGCCTTAGCAGTCTCTTTTTACTCTCCACTCTGACTTTGAAAAGATGAACTGACATTGGGGAACAGATTTTACTTTTCTTGCTTAATTAAGTGAAGTGATATGGATGTCGCTTTCCTTTATATTATTTTATTAGCCTTCAGGAAAACAAGCTAGTCACAAGAAGACTCCAAAAGAGAAATAAATTTTTTTCAGCCTCCTGTTGATTTGCAAGCCCATTTTTAAAAAGATTAATCCAATGTATGTTTGGGTAACAGAATGTCAGTCAGGAAAGCAGCAAACATAACTTGAGCTCTTTGTAGAACTTCATTCATAAAAAGGATTGCGGTAGAAACCATTGCAATAGAGGACAGAGACCATCAAGCCACATCTCTGTGTAACACATATCATCCACTACAGATAAATGGCAACCTTTAATTAATATCCAAAGTTGTCCTTCTCTGAAACTCAGTGAAATCCATTTTTTTCTTCTCATATTTACTTTTAAATGTCCCTGTGCATGACTATTTTTCATAGGTTTATTCCATTTCATTAAAGAAGCATGCATTGGCAGGCACAATCTTCTACTCTCCTGATAAAACTGATAATCTGATGTTTTAGGGATGTGATCCTTACTCATTTTTTTTTTTCAGATTTGGTTCTATTTTGACATTAATTATCAACAGTTTTAATCTAAAACTTGTCTTTCAAAAGAAGAACCCCACTGAGGTAGTACATGTCTGAAGTCAATGTGATGTGACTTTTTCTTAAATGAATTACCTGAAATGAGACTTCCAACTGAGATGAGACTTCCAACTGAGATGAGACTTGCAAATGAATTACATGAAATGAGACTTCCCTGATGCTGAGTCTTAAGTTGTTTAGGCAGCCTTTTCTCTACTATCTAATCTCTATACTAAATCTATTGCATCAAAAATGTTTAGTGTCCACAGGAAGCAAATTAAATGAATGAAAAATTAACCTCTATAACTCATAATTTTAGAGATAAATACATTTCTTTAAAAGAGATTTCATTCCATATTCTTGGCCTTAAATAATAAAACTGCTATTGCCTGAACGGTAGACTTAGGATAGTTTTACATAGAAAAGAACCATGGCCTATATGTTCCACAGAAGAGGCAGAGAAAGAAACTTGGTTTCTTTGACTGAGTCACAGCCATTTAGGAGTAAACAAAGGTGAGGTGATTTTCCTTTGCTTTAACAAAAGTTATCAGCGAGGCCAGTGTTGCTCAGTGGTTAAGTACCAACCCAGGAACCACGAGGCCACTGGTTCCATTCTAGGTCAGGGCACATGCCTAAGTGGTGGGCTTGGTCCCCATTGGGGGACAGCCAATTGATGTGTCTTGCAGGAGGCAGCCAATTGATGTGTCTCTCTCTTTATTGTTTTGATTTATCTATCCCTTTCCCTCTCTGTCAAAAAATCAATAAAAAGATATTTTTAAAAAACAATCAAACTGAAAAACATTGAAATAAAGGCAATTTCCAGTACATCAGCTAAAACCACAAGTGCTGTCCTTGTGAGGGGCTTAGCTAATCTAATGATTGGTGGTCAAAACCCTGGGGTCTCCTTATTCTCCTCACAAAACAAAACAAAACAAAACAAAACAAAACAGGAAATAATGGGATCCAAGATGGCAATGGAGTAAGTAGAAGTTATACTCATATCCTTCCAGAACAAAACCAAAATTACATCCAAAACATAGAAATGGCAACTGAAGACTGTCTGAACAGAAGCCTTATAACCAAGAATTTACAGAAGATGCCATATGGAGACTAGTAGAAAGGGTAGAGATGCAGGAAGGGCTGGCCCTGTACCCATAGTGGCTCAGAAACACCCTGAGGAGTGTGAGGTCTTAACACTACAGGCTCCTCAGCCCAGAACACCAGATCTGGAAAGAGGAGACTACATAACATACAGCTTTAAAAATCAATGGGGATTATGTCTTTCTAGAGAAAGAAGGGAGTCTGTTAGGAACCCAGGCACCATCATAAAGGACCACTTTGCAAAATCTTGTTTTTAGCCGCTTACTCTGGGTTCTGGCAAAGGGAGGGTGGGTCAGATGACAGAGAACTACAGGCTTGTGAGGAGAGATGGAGTTTGTGGCTCTGGAGAGAGCTGAAGCGATAGCTGCTAAAATCCCTACCCTCCATAGTATATCAGCTTGGGGGTATACAATAGCCCCATCCTACTGACTCCCTGTCAGCCTACTTTGCTGAGGTTGGACTCTCCAAGAGGCATGGAAAGAATGTGGAATAGACTGAGTTGTGTGGTTCTAGGATGGTGCAATTTTTCCCTTGCACACCAAATGGGTGCAGAGCCTTCTCTTCATATATTCAAATCCTGGTCAGTTTGAGCCTGATAAACATTGCTGGATTCCCCCTGATGATAGCTTACACCTCCTTACACATTATATAAAAAT